AGATTATCAGGTCTGGTCAGAAACTTTACTGTTACAGTCCCAATTGGGATATTGAGGAGAGTCATTTTTTTTTAAAAAAAGAGGTTTTTCACCCTGTTAGGGTGGAAGACAAGATTTGCACAGGTACCCATAATCCCACCTGAGCTGCAGCAGCCATTACTTAATTAATCTTTCATCTCCTCCTGCAGACTTTATCTTGGATGACGGTTACACAGACTACACTTCATGAGCTTTGCATTTATTATTTTTGTCTTCTGGTTTTAACTTTCTCCTCCCACGAGTCCTCTTCTTCCTTTTATTCCATTTTTAGAAAACTTCCCTGGTATGCTTCTTCTGTATAGGTTTCATGACATTTCTTCCGTGTGGCTAATTCCCTTCTGTGGACGGCTGCTTGGAGGAGGTTTTTGTATTACTTTGGCTTGGACATCCTTTTTCTGTTGCAGAGTGACAGCAGATGCTGCCTCCAAAATCCCCCACAGTGCTGATAAGAGGAGCTGGCAAAGGGCAAGACAGAAGCCCCAAGAAGAGGTGGAGCAGGCCAGGCTCAGGGGATCCCCGCTACCTACATGGCAGGATTCTGATATCTGCGAGGTGAGCTCAGGATTAATTCTCAGCATCCATTCATCATGAGGCAAGTACTTGACATTTGGGAAGTAGGGATGGCTTCCTTGCCTAACAATGGCATTGAGCTAAGAGGTAACACATGCAAATTTATTGTCTCCCTGTTTTCCCATTATCTGATAGGAGCCTGAACAGCAGTAGTTGTGCTGTCTCAGTACCTGGCATAATAAGGTCAAAATATGCAAAGACTGTTTCCAAGTAGCCTGAACAGAAGAGCATCACTCATACTGGAGACTTCTTTATTACCTGTGGGAACTTAGCTTAGAGGGAACATGACATCATTCTGACCATGTGCTGTCAACTCTGAACAGGTTTGCTTTTCTGGGGATCTGCTGCATTGTGAGAGACAGCAATGCCTGGTGACAGAGAGGCTTGAATGAGGCTGATGAGGCTTCTTCCAATGATGAGATGGTGCCATCTCACTTTTTATCCATTGTTTTGGCCCCAAACAAGTATTTTTTTTTTTTTTATAAATGGAGATTTAGCAGATGGTATGCATTTATAAAATGGGTTAAAGAGCCCCTGTCTTCTAAAACAAAGAAGCAGAAGGAACAAAATATGGAGAAAATGGTCAGGAGTCTGTACAACTTGTAAGCTCTAGGTGTGTTGTAACAAAGACAATGCAGTCATCTGCTGGGTCAGGGGACAGAGAATGAAGGATTTTCCAAGCAGGGAAGAGGAAATGGAGTGTGCAACTGCTGCCACTGCTAAATGGGGTCTCTAATTCCTCTCCCTAGAATGGTAATGACACACATCTGTATGGTGCCTTTCATCAGCTCTGATCTCGGGGAGCACTCAGAGCTCCCTCTCTACTCAGCTCCTAAACATGCCCATCAAGAGGCTAAGGGATGACATCGATATTTGTGCCGTTTCTATTTTAGAGGAGAAGAGCTCACATGCAATAGGACATTCAGATGCTGGGGAAATGAATTCAGAAGGGAGAAGGAAAAACTGGCCACTGCTTATTTCCAATCATGACCCTTAGTATCATTGAGCTGATCCACCACCTCTACTCATATCGTCTCTGAAGAGCCCATCATGCCTCCAGTAGCCTTGGCCTCTTCTCCTCAGCTTCCCTCTTTTCATACTGCTTCCCTCTCGGGAGCATATCACAAACGAAGGTGAATGTGCTCCAGAAAGTTGTGACAAACTGACATTGGGGTCCAAGTGCTGCTAAAGACATTTTCCCCTGATGCTTTGGGATGTCAGAAATAGAGGGGACATTTGGGGTATAGGAATGAAGAGGACAAGGCTTAGAAGGGAGAGGAATGGTGGGGAATCTGGTCTGACCCAGTAAGATGGTCGACAACATGAGCAGGGCCATCAGACATAAGTTATACAGATAGGGAAGCAACCAACAATTGTGATTCATTAAGATGTTGCAGAAAAGTGAACCATCTAACACAAAGATCGGCTCAAAGACATGGTAAAGATAACTCAGAGAACTAGATTTCAGCAGAGAGGTTGAAAGCCCAGTCTGGAGATGTTTCTAGGCTGGTATTTAGAAAGGGTTAGGACATAAGGATTCTTTCTTCCTTGGCTGAGGAATGAATAAAAGCATGCCTCGTTCCCTTACTTCCTCCATTTTGCAAGTATCCTATGATGTTGTTGCCAGCCCCTTTGGTTAAGGCACATTATCAGAAGATGAATGGGATTCTGCAGTGGTGACACAGAGGAGCACTAGGCTGGGTACCAGGACCTGTGTTCTAGACTTGTTCTTAACCAACTGGGTGACATGTGGTTGAACTTCAAGGCACAGGGTAAAGCCCTGGACTTGCTTAGAATCAATACGTACAGCTTTATGAACCTGGGAAGGCGACTTTATCTATTTGGACCTAAGTCTTGATATGCAACAATGTAATAAAAGTACAAGTTGAGCATCCATAGTCTGAACATCTAGACTGTGAAATGCTCCAAAATCCAAAACTCTGAAGTGATTTTCCAAAATACATGAAAATTCCATACCACAAATAAACTTTGTTTTCTGGGCAAAATTATTGCAAATACCATATGAAATTATCATTAGGCTATGTGTATAAGGGGATAGAAAACAGAAATGATTTTCATGTTTAGACTTGAGCCTCACCCTCAGGATATCTCATTATGTACTGACTAACATCTCCAAAAAACCAAACCAAAACAAAACCCCACATAGAAAACACTTCTGGTCCTAAGCATTGTGGATATGGGATACTGAACCTGTATTTGTAAGGAGCACAGGAAAATTGTGAGGAAGATAGGTATGTGAAAAGGCTTCAAGGACTAAAATGCACTATACAGAGAGGTCTATTTGTATCCCTTGAGTTGTATACACATGGTAAGAGAGTACCCTGAGGAAATGGAACCATGCCTGAGGCCACACAGGGAGTTCATAATAGAACTGGGCTTACTATCCATTTTTTAGAATCCAGATTTCTTTCATGACATTGTCCTGGTGCCTGTTTCTTTCCGTCTTATGGCTGGCAGAAGATCAAATGAGACAACAGGAGAGGAGGTAGGGAGAATTCTGAATAAGTCACGAGCCAACACAAGGGAAGCAGTACAATTAGAGTACGGGTTCCCTTGGAGATACTCTCAGTGATGTGATGAGATGAACCCCAGCTGGAGAACTTTTGAAGTCAACCAGCATCCAGCAAAATTGTCTGGTCATGGGAAAACTCTAGAAAGACTGCTGAGAAACTTAATGTGCAAAAACAGCTGGGTTTGTCCTCTGAGGTTTGCTTCGTGGGTCTATAAAGTTGGAATTCTTGCCTGTAGATTCTTAGCAATGACCGATCACCATTATTTTCTAGCTAAATAATTCCCAGAATATACAAATATAAGAACATTCCCTGTCCCTGATTAGCTTACATCCTGTGAATCATCATACTGAGAGGGATCAACAGTATCTCTCATGTGCAAGCTTAACCTAGTGCCCCCTGCTCAGGTGGGCTTAATATGGGTTCTGAACAAAACCAAGCCCTTTCAGCAATGTCTGTCAATGAGAAATGGCAGAACCAGATCCACCTTTGGGCATGCACAAAGGGTGGGCCATTTATCACCTTCAGCCAATGCAGAAGGCATGACTGCTAATTGGTCTCTTCATTAACCAAGGAGAACATCTACCATCACAACAACTCACAAGCTAGCAGCAATTTGGGGCAATATTTAAGTGGTTTCTAACTCATAATCATATTTCTTCCTGAAATCTGCTGGCCTAGAAAATATCTTTCATTCCTCATAAATAGACTGCTCTCACCTTTAGTAATTATGGACTCCCCAGGGAAGAGAAAGAATGAGTGAGGGGTATGCATCATACACAGAGGTGAGACACTATATTTAAACCTTAATCAAGGATGGTTAGTTCTTTAAAACCAGGCTTATACTACTTGGGGCAAAAGAAATATAAAATATTCTTTTAGCTTCTGCAACCCACAGGAAAGAAATTTCCACTGTATTCCTAGTAAATATCTCTCTGTTATTCTATAAGAGTCTTATCATGTATGTGATATATGGACAGGGATGCTGAAATACTTTTGCCAAAGTATGAAGCTCTCTGGCAGGGAAGGAACTGTGTCAGTGGAGAGGTTAGCAAAGAAACCCTGCCTGCAACTGACAAGAGTGGAGTCTTTCTAGCAGCAATGACACTCCAGTTTGAGGTCAATGAACAAAATCCCAATTCAGTGGTAAGGTTGTGTTGGAGGGTGGTCAAGGCAGAAAGCACCTTTCAGCCAGACCCCTTTCCCTTAGTGCAGGAAAATGGCAAGTGTCTGAATGTAGCCAAGTATCATTCTGGGGGGTCTGCTGAGGGCAGTTTTGTGAATGCCCATGGATCAAGAAAAGACAATATGGCCTGAGGCTGAAACTCCCTGATCAGTTAGACTTCAGGATGCACTAGGGGCAACTTCCATTGACTTTGAAGGAGATGTCACACTTTGGATGTGTGACTTCTAGGGATAGCATGCCACAAAACTAAGATGTTCATTCCCATCCAGCCTTGGTATTCTTGGGATCTTGTTGGTATACCTAATGAGTTTTGGAGGCTTTATATAATTAGCCTCCCAAACTAGCCATCAGATCAGGACCTAAGAAGCTAAAAACAGCACCTTTAATGAAAAGCATAAATGCAATAGGTATGCCTGTAGCTCAGGCAGCTAGTGAGGGTGGCCTCAGGGTCCACAGTTTCCCAGGCAATGGCTCCAGGACAGAGGAAAGACAGTGAAAACCAAGTAAACAGTGCTTGAAATGTACAAGCTCAACTGTGTGAGGACATTCATTGTCATTTAGTTCCCACCTCTTTGCAAATTAGTGAACCCAACTTGCCAAAGATGGTGTCCAAAGTCCCAAGCCCAGCAATCAACATCTAGGGAGTACCAGGCTGAAGAGAAATTTAGCCTTACCTGGAGACATGGAGGAATCGTAGGAACTTCTCTCCTTGCGGTTCATCTTGAAGGCCTGGATGTCCTTTTCCCTGTACGTCCCAAAGCCTTCAAAGCTCCTCCTTTTACTCCCACTCATGTCACTGTCCCACTTGTCATTCGAAGGGGTCATGTCACTGAACACGTCCAGGCTCTCTGATCTTGTGCTGCTGCCATCCCCGCTGCTGCCAGAGTACCTTTTAGCGCACGAGTCCACAGACTCGATGCTCAAGTCGCTTTTGTCCTTGGCCTGCGTCCAATGCTGGGCATCAGAAAGCGACAGGTTAGATAGGGTGTCCACCTCAAAGCTGTTCTTGGAGGCTTTGTGGCCGGCTTCGCTGTGCTGATGCTTCTGTTTCTCCTTATGCTTGCTCTTCTCACTCACCAGCGGGAGCTCTTTGTCTGCGCTGCTCAGCCGCTCACTCAGGAGGTGGCTGGAGAAGCCTGTGGCTTTGCCTGTGAAGAGACCGCTCAGGTTGTCGTGGGTCCCCAGGAGCCGGTCTTCCTTGTGCTTATGCTTGTGTTTGTGTTTCCTCTTGTGGAGCCGACCGCTGGACAGAGTGGCGCTGCCCACCTTGGGAGGGTTCAGGGATGGCTGGATGTCACCGAGGCCCATGCCAACGGGTCCCTGCAGGTGTACTCCATGCTTTGCTTTATGCTTAGCTGCCCCAGACATCTTTACGTGGGAGCTTGTGTGGAACTGAGGTGGTGGCACTGTTGGCCTTATGAACGGGGAGGCTGCTCCCAGCGTGTGCGATAGGTACAGCGGAGCTGGGTACTGACCGTAGTAACCAAGGTTCATCATAGGCATTGATGTGTAAGGCAATCCATAGGGTGCATAGTAACTTCCACTGGGAATAGGGTAGCTGAACCCTTGTAAAAAAGGCACCTTTGTCATGGTGTCATTGGTTTTTGCAGGCCTACCACGCTTCTTCTTTGACTTCAAGTCTGAAGTCCTACGAAGATAGAGCAACGGGTCATATTGGATATATGGCACCGGGTAATAGTGATCAAAATTAATCCGAAAAATGCTGGGGTATGGATTCTCGTGGTAAAAGGTGTAACTCCGGTGGGAGATCCTGAACACTTGGAATTTGGTGATGAGCTCTTCCAGCTCGGCCAGAAACTGGAGATCGTCTCGGTTTTGCAGGCTTTTCCGTTTCCTCTTGTGCTTTGGCTTCTTGAGGCTTTCGTGGGCCAGGAAGGTGTCCACGATGAGATGCTTCTGCCGGTGGCCATGCCGGTTCTTTGTGCTGGTGTCGGACGGGATGGCCTCCGGGTTATCCAGGGAGCAGAAATCAAAAGAGTACCTCCGTCGGGATTCTGAACTCTTCTCCGCTTGGTCAGATGTGCTGTTGTTGTCCGTCCCGATGCCACTGTCGCTTGGGATCGTCTCCTCGCTGTGGGACTCACTCACGGGGGACAGCGTTATTTCCTTCAGTGAGCCGATCTCACAGAGGTGTGAAGGGGAGTTGGCCATCAGCCTGGGTGGGGACAGCTTCCAGGTTCCACTGTGGATTCCCTTTTGGGTTTTGGTTGGAAGAGCACTGATGGGTTGGAGATTTGGCATAGTTTTCAACTCTGAAAAACTGGTTTCAGTGCTGGCGGGGCTCAGGTTGCCATTGGACCCACCTAACTGGGTTGAAAGTGGGTGCATAGCTGCTGGTGAAGATGCCACGAGGGACTGAAAGTTGGAAGGCACGGCTGGAACGTCCGGCTGGCTAGAAACAGGCCTGGGGTGTTTGATGGCTGTTTTGGGTTCTTCGGATGGGGGCGGCAGCTCCGTCCTTGGCTTTCTGCCCCTCTTCTTGCCGATGTAGATGGTTCCCCTCTTGCTGACATTAATCTGCTTGCCCAGTTTGCTTTCGATGGCTGCTGCCCCAGGGCTGGTCTCTGGGGGAGCTTTGGCCTTCAGAGCCATGCTGCTGGAACAGGACAAGATCTGGTTCAAGATGTTCTTCCTCTTGAGCGTCTTCATCTTGTTGATAGTTTTGATGGTCTTCTTATCCAACACACCGAGCTTTCCAACCTTTTTGTGAAACTTCATCTCACTCATGGGTTTGTCCTCTCCCGGGACTAGCTGGGCCAACTTAGCTAAATTGCGTCGTCTCTTTCTTTTCTTGGTGCCAGGAAACTCTCTGCTGATGGGACTGACTGGGCTGGTGGAAGTGCCCTCGTGAATCGTCTCCACCGTGAGCAAAGGCTGCTTCTTTGGTCGACCCCGCTTCTTTTTGACTGGAGTAATCACAGTCAGACTGTCCGTGTTGGTGTAGAGAGGGCTGGACGGGGTGATGGGATAAGCAGAGGGGGGTTCTACCATCAGTTTATCAGAGGTGGCCATGACTGCCTCTCGCAGCATGCTGGTGGGTTTTGGCTTGCTGCAGGTCCACCTCCGTTTTGCAGCAAATTTTGGATGCTGGATATCTGGCAACTTTCTTGATGGAGAGTGATCGGTGCACATTGGGGGCGCCATGATCATGGGTGGTTTCCGCTGCTTAGACATACCTCCTGGGACAATTTTCTCAGTATTTCCACCAGTCTCGAGGCCAACTGAGGGGGACTCATTCTCTATCAGTTTACTCAACTTTGGGACACGGGGGTCTTTCTTATTTCCCTCTGAGTTGGAAAGTATCCTGTTAACCACTTCACTACTCATAGCAATTCCAGAAGCCAGTGTTTTCTCTGGGATGATCTTTTCTACCACTGCTTTAATGGACTGTCTCTTTTTCCTCTTATGGCTGGTTGGATCTAGAGAGGGTGCCTTGATAGGGATAGTAATCCGGACATGACTGGAGTCATTTTCAGGATTACTGATGGAGCCCACATTCTGCCTGGCTGGTGATGCCTCTTGGCCATTCTCTGCAGAGTAGCCCTCCCTTTTCCCTTCTGTGTTCTCAAATACCTTCTGGGCACTCTTGACCCAATCCAGGTCTGGGTTTGGTATGGTTTGACTTATCACATCTTTTTTACTGGACTTTTTCTTGCTGCCTATTGTAGGTGGTTCTGGGGGCTCCTTTGTACCTCCTCCATCTTGATCCCCCAAGGACTGGAGCCCAGTGCACTCGGCAGAGCTGCTAGGAGGGGTCGGCGAGCTGTGGTTGCTTGGAGATGGAACCACACCTCCCAAGAGCAGATCTTTGCTGTTGTTGGACAACTGACTCCACGTGCTCCCTGCACTGCCTTTCTTACCCTGGGCCTTTGCAAAGGAAGCCACGGGTTCAAGAGCTGAGATCTTGCTGGTGCTTGCAGTTTCTCTGCCAGAGTCTGGACTGATGAAGCAATTCTGAGTGGCGGGTCCGCTGTCAGAGTTGGTGGACCAGTCCATGTGGTTCTGGCTGCTGCTTTTTTGCTGGTGCTTTGGTTTTAAGGTGTCACCGGTGAAGTCCTGCGGGAGGCCTGGGTCATAATGGAGACTTGAGTGCTTCTGGGGCCTCTCGTAAGCCTGAGGGTGGGAAAATTGGAGAGAGAAAAAGAGAAACAAAGATGAGCATGTTAGGACTACTTAAAAGTTAATATCAGGCCAGGGGTGGCAGCGCATGCCTATAATCCCATGACTTGGTAGGCTGAGGCAGAAAGATTGCAAGTTCAAGGTCAGCCTCAGAAACTTAGCAAGGCCCTAAGCAACTTAGAGAGACCCTGTTTCAAAATATAAACATAAATAGGGGTGGGGATATGGCTTAATGGCCAAGCACCCCTGGATTCAACTCCTGGTACCCCCGCCCCCCAAATAATAATAATGTCAAAAGGCTTAATTATTTGAAAGTTGGAAACAAATGACTACATTAGCAGCCACCTTTAATTCCAGAATGTTTTACAGAGGTTTTCTCAACTGTAGTGATAAGGATATATTGCATTATTTTCGAACATTAATAAGAATACTTTATTGGCTACTTTTCCCTTCTAAATAGAAGGGAACCTTGGTTTAATGCAATCTGAGAATAAAAACAGGTAAGAGAGAAGAGGGAGGGAACTATAGTCTCTGCTCTGGTCACAGTACTTTACAATGAGGAAGTTGAAACTGGAAGAACTGAGAGTCCTTCCCACAGTGGCAGAGCCAGGGCAAGAGTCTGACCTTTCCTCGGTTGCAAGGTTCTTTTGACAAACAACACAGGCTGCCTCTTAGTCCAGCTCCTGCTTCTCCTCTCATGCGTGGCTTTCCTAGCTTCCCTCTCTCTGGTTCATTTCTGGTACTTTACCTTAGAGTTCAACCTCTCTGTACTCAATCAAATAAGAAGGAGCTCATAAGATACCACTCCAAGAAGTAAAAACAGCACAAGGAACTAAGTAAGGGTCAAGGTTTGGAGAATAAATGGAAGAAGAAAAAAAACCATGAAAGAACTGTCCTGAGCCTTCAAATCTTCCTGGACTCTACGCTTTTTGCTGCGATTGGAAGTTTACGTGCTAAGGGATCCACAAGCAGCCATTAGGCATTTGTTGCTCTTTGCAGAAACTCTTGGAAAGTCTCATAAGTTACCTTGAGTTTCCTGGACAGATGTACCAGGAAAATAATCATTGTCACTCCAGATCACTCCTTTGAATGTTGGCAGCTGTGTTTTCCCTACACCAAAGCTGACTGAATGTCTCCAACATTCCCCCTGGGACCGACTCCTCAGATCGGAATGGCAGGCCTTGAGACTCCAGGCACAGAATGATCAGGATGTATAAAATCACAAAGGGAATGGAAAGTGAACGCAGCGTTTTGAGATGTTAAAGCTACTTTTAGTATAGACAGGCTCTTAGTTTCCCAGGCACGCTACTGCTACAAAGAAGTGTTCTTTAGGTTATCTGAGCCTGATATGTCCATGGAGTAGTAAGCTCACTGGATGCATTAGATTAAGACTTGTTACCGAATGGAAAATATAAGTAAATTGAAGAAAAGTTTGGATAGTATCTCCACTGAGAAGTGTATGATGATTGGTGTATATATTTAGAAAATTCAAACCTGTAATATCTATCAGGGTGTCTGTTTATTTATGTATCTGCCTGCTTATCTATCTAGCTATCAATCATTCTATCTGTATGTGCCAATGATGCTGCAGAACTTAGGATTTGTTAGAGAACACGTCTTATAGTTTCAATTAAGGACCAAAACACAGAAGAAAGAAGTAAGGGTAAAATTCAATGTCCTAAAGCAACTAGAATTCCTTCACACTAACTCTTAGGTTTCCCAAAGGTCTTTTTTTTTCTACCCTAATTTTGTGATGTCCTGTTTACATTTATGTCACTGCACTGTATTTTGAAAGTATGAGATAGTCTTTCCAAGCTAAGTCTATAAATGCCCAGAAGAGAATTAAGAAAGAGAATTTTGTTTATTTTTTCCTTCACCTTGCAATTTACAGTAGAAACACCACCATCATTAAAATATAGAGGATTAATCCTGCCACTTGAGAGTTTTTACTAGGTATCACTGCTGTGAGCCTAGGCTGCTATTCCAATTTCTGGAAAAATATAGAGACCCTATTTATGGCATAAAATATCAAATGCTACTTACTTATCTTTTATGAATCAGGCTTTGCTAATTTACCCTTCGTGCAATGGGCTTTAGCTGGCACTGTGTGCTCACTCACAGGCCCACGGCCCTGGAGGAGGGCTTCCAGATGGCATTTCCTGCTCCTTAGGATGATGAAGTAGGTATCCCTCATACTGAGACATTTCTGAGGGTTGGAATGGGGAGGATTAAAAATTACAGTGAAACAAAAGGTGTGTAATGTTTTGCAACTGGGCAAAACAGCACTTGTGGTGCCCCCTTTCCTCCAGCTCTGGCTCCTCCACTTCTCTAGCTCTAGATGCTGAAGACCACAGACGGGCTTCATGATGAAGTGAGGAATGGAATCTCGGTCCCTGACCCCCACTGCTTTTCCCTTTGGTCCATCTCCTGGTTGATGGCACCTCACAGAGTTCCTGTTTCATTTTTGCTTCATGCTCTGTTCTCAGCTCAATCCCAGGGAAGCCCTTTTTCTTACAGAAATTCCTTGTTAAAGTTTTCCTGAAGCCAAGTATTTTGTCTTTGTTTGCTCATCATAGTGTTAATTTTATGTATAATTGTATGCCAACTGAATTAAATTCCTGCCTCATTTTCTAGCTTGTAACATTGTCACCGAGGTACCAAACACAGGTCTTGGGACGTTCCAGAGATGCAAGGTTGGTTCAACATATGAAAATCAAGAAATATAATTCATCCCATCAATAGACTTAAAGATAAGAATAATATATCAAATGATGCAGAGAAAGATTTGACAAAATATACCACCCTTTCATGTTCAAAACACTAAGAAAACTAGGGATTGTAGGAACACACTTCAACATTGTAAATGCTATCTATGCTAACCTAAGGCCAACATCATTCTAAATGGCAAAAAATTGGAAGCATTCCCTCTAAAAACTAGAACAAGACAGGGATGCCCTCTTTTACCACTTCTATTCAACACAGTCCTTGAAACTCTAGCCAGAGCAATTAGACAGATGAAAGAAATTAAAGGAATATGGATAGGAAAAGAAGAACTCAAACTATCATTGTTTGCTGATGACATGATGCTATACTCAGAGGATCCAAAAAACTCCACCAGAAAACTTCTAGAATTAATATATGAATTCAGAAAAATATGAGGATATAAAATCAATTGCCATATATCAAATGCATTTCTATACATCAGAGATGAATCCTCTGAAAGAGAAATTAGGAAAACTACTCCGTACACTACAGCCTCAAAAAAACCCCAAAACCTTGGGAATCAATTTCACAAAAGAGGTGAAAGATCTCTGCAATGAAAATTACAAAACACTATTAAAAAGAAATTGAAGATGACCTTAGAAGATGGAAAGATCTCCCATGCTCTTGGATAGGCAAATTAATATTGTCAAAATAGTTATACTACCCAAAGCACTATACACATTCAATGCAATTCCAATTAAAATCCCAATGTCATTCCTTATAGAAATAGAAAAAGCAATCATGAAATTTTTTTGGAAAAATAAGAGACCCAGAATATCCAAAGTAATCCTTAGCAAGAAGAGTGAAATAGGAGGCATCACAATACCAGACCTTAATCTATACTACAAAGCTATAGTAACAAAACCGGCATGGTATTGGCATCAAAACATATGTATAGACCAGTGGTACAGAATAGAAGACACAGAGACAAACCCATGTAAATACAGTTATCTCATACTAGACAAAGGATCCAAAAACATACAGTGGAGAAAAGGTAGCCTCTTCAACAAATGGTGCAGGGAGAACTAGAAATCCATATGCAGCAAAATGAAACTAAACCCCTATCTCTCACTGCACAAAACTCAACTCAAAGTGGATCAAGGCCTAAGAGACCATGCGCCTAATAGAGGAAAAAGTAGACCCAAATCTTCATCACGTCGGATTAGGCCCCAACTTCCTTAACAAGACCCCTAAAGTACAAGAAATAAAATCAAGAATTAATAAATGGGATGCATTCAAACTAAAAAGCTTCTTTTCAGCAAGAGAAACAATAAACAAGGTGAAGAGAGAGCCTACAATTTGGGAGCAAATTTTGGCCTCATGCACATCAGATAGAGAACTAATCTCCAGGATATATAAAGAACTCAAAAAACTGAACACCAAAAAAAAAAAAAAATTAATAAATGGGCTAAGGAGCTGAACAGACACTTCTCAAAAGAAGATATATGATGGATCAACAAATATATGGAAAAAATGTTCAACATCTCTAGTAATTAGAGAAATGCAAATCAAAACTACTCTAAGATTTCATCTCATGCTAGTTAGAATAGCAGCTATTAAGAGTACAAACAAATAAGTGTTGGCGAGGATGTGGGGGAAAGGCACACTCATACATTGCTAGTGGGACTGCAAATTGGTGCAACCACTCTGTAAAGCAGTATGGAGATTTCTTAGAAAACTTGACCCAGCTATCCTATTCCTCGGTCTATAACCAAAGGACTTAAATTCAACATACTATAGTAACATAGCCACATCAATGTTTATAGCAGCTCAATTCACAACAGCTAAACTGTGAAAGATGCACTTCAATAGATGGATTAAAAAAAAAAAAAACTTTGGTATATATACACAATGGAATATTACTCAGCATTAAAAGAGAATAAAACTATGGCATTTGTAGGTAAATAGATGGAGCTGGAATGAAGTAAGCCAATCCCAAAAAACCAAAGTCTGAATGTTCTCTCAAATAAGTGGCTGCTAATCCATAATGAGAGGGGCATGGAAAAATGGAGAAACTTTGATTGGTAAGGGCGAGGGGGAAGGGGAGGAGAGATGGGGGCATGAAAGATGGTAGAATGTGATGGACATTATTATCCTAGGTACATGCATGACTGCACATATGGTGTGATGCTACATTGTGCAAATCCAGAGAAAAGAAAAGTTGTGCTGAAATTGTGTAGAATAAAAATGTGTTCTGCTGTCATATATACCTAATTAAAATAAATAAATAA